GCAGTATTGTTATTTATACGATTGCTTTGAAGAGATTGCACATTTGTCATGATTTACGTATTAAAAAAAAAAGAAATTTCTCCGTGTTTTAAAAGTAACGTTGTGCTCCAACTGGAAAGTGTACGCATGCGAGGACATCGAAGTGACGAATTTAAGGTCAACGTGAGAAAGTGAATCGTATATTTGAGGATAGAGCGATTAGAAAGAACATAAAAGAATGCATCGTGGTTTGTAAACTACTTCGATGAAAGGGAAAATTACGCTGCTCTATTGCTGCTCTATTGTAGAATCAAACGAGCGTCTGTTCCATCGTAACGATGTGCCGTTGCAACAAAGACGCATTTAGATTCGATATTGTTCTATGCGGTGGCAATCAATTAGGATTCGACGACGGTTTAGTGTGGTCATTCATAAGCGGGACGATGCTGATGACTCGAATTCAGCTTACAATTAAAGTTATCCTTGAGACTTTCCGTTACTGGATTTGTTAACTGAACATTTTCTGTTAACAATTACGGCCTTGAAAAACGGAGATTACCATCCAAGACCGTTTCATTATGTAAGATGTAAGAAACAAAAGAACCTGTAATTACCAGACCTTCAGTTTTTAGAAAGAAAACGTATTTCATCTCTCACGAAATTATTTTGGCGACAGAAGTGTTTTATTTCATAAACTATCTTACATAAAAAAAGTCTTGTACGATAACAAAGGAAGATTCTTTTTGTCGATATCACTCGAATTATGCTGCTTTCGCTATTTATCGAGCGTACGGTGAAATTGTACACCGTTGCGAAAATTCTGATGCATGTGCACGATAATATTATTGTATGTATAAATAATAAGTCACGTTTAATCTTGCAAATAAAATGTAAAAGGCGGTGTGTTATACTATCATTACTCTTTTTTTTGTTCGAGTTCTTCCGGTACACGTTCACCTTGCCTTTCTTTCGTAGATTCAACTAATCCGAGGTCAATTCATGCGCGTATGTGTACAGCAATCTGATTATCATTGTACTAGAAAATATGTTGCGATATCTCGGAATTATTAACATATTAGACTGCCACAGGTTGATTATTCTTGCGTTAAGAGCGTCAGAAATTATTGTATGCAAAACTCCATTTTATTGTGCAATAGCATTGAAAGCACATAATATCGGAGTCGTCTTCAGTGAGAAATGATGGATCGATCGACGTTAAAGCATTGATCGACTAATCATTTCTGGCTGAGTCACTGTTTTCGATCTATCTTAAGAGATATTTAATTAATTCCATTATTATTATTTCCGCAAAAATGGCTCGTACCTGGTGCCCAACTATTATTAACGATTAAGTCCATTCGAAATTATCGAGATTAAAATACTCGTTGGTTGGACATTATTTGAGATAATAGTAATTTCTGACAAGAAGATAGTAGCATGAAAATTGAAGATTTAATTTAATACTAATTTAATTTGGAGGAAATTATTATTTCAGTTTGATTGTGTTGTAAGTTCAAAAGTTAATTGGCGCACACTCATATATCTGAAATTTTATTTAAAATACATATACATGTATTATTTCAACATCTAACTTTGACCGTAGGTGCTTTTCTCTCTCTCTCTCTCTCTCTCTCTCTCTCTCTCTCTCTCTCTCTCTCTCTCTCACTTATAATAGTTATAATATATTAATATAAATAGTCCTGTTTTTAATTTTAATATTGTTAATATTTCTGTAATCGAGGATCGTGAATATGTAATGAAATTTCAACACACTCGTGAGGGCGATTGCAAATTTATCACGTGTCCATAAAAAGATACTAGCCAAGTACAAAGATCATCTTTAAGATAACCGACCTTGATCTGTGACCTTGGATGTTAGACGGGTGTTTCACCTACGTTGGTCAGTTCAGTTTTTGATCATCGTTAATTAATGCATACCTTCTTTTTTTATCTGGGAATTAATCAAGGGAATTCAAGTTTCATCATTTTGTAAATCTAACCTGGGCTCTTTAGTATAATCTTTGCAAGATTAATATATGCCAGATACCTGTAAAGATACCTGATTGTCGAGATTTTTTTCTTAAATTCTTTTCCTTTTGTATATTAATATTTATGTTTGCATTTATATACATGCGTCCCGTTTACTTACAAGGGTGTAAGTGTTGCCGATTTGAAAGTCTAATTAATTTTCAATACGTATTGCTATCGCACAATGCCATGCATTACATAGACATTTTCTAATCGAGATGCTATAACCCAATTCAGGGTAAAGAAACTCAACCATCGTTTGCAAAATCTCTTACTGTATATTATTAATGAATTGATTATATATTATTTCGTTATTTCTTATTCGGAGTGAAATATACGTTTTAATAATTGTCGAGAAGTCTTTAAATTTCATACAGTCTCCTTTTTATTGTACATAAAATTTAAATATTGCAAAATCAATTATTTAGTATTAATTAGCAAAACAAATTATTTGATTCGTTTACTACAATTTAATATATTTTTTGACTGAAAAGCTAAATGTGTTTTTGTTATGTTTTTGCAATGCTCAAGTACAATTGATAAATGAGCGATTTAGTTGACTTAAAATTTAGTTTCTTTTTTTTTCAAAAAATTAAAATGAATATGTTATTAAGACTTGCATTCGCTAAGTCCTGTTCAAATCGATTCAAAGTAAATCTTATTGCATGAGTCTCTACGCACTTGTGTAAAACAATTTCAAAGTCGTACGCGTGCATGTATGTTTAATCGCAGCTCGAGCACTCTCCTAGGCAGACGTGTCAATCGTAATAGTGACACTGGGTCGGGGACTCTCACGAGTTGCATTCCTTGCCATGTTCTTGTTGCAACATTCGCGACATTTGCCACGTTACTGGTTTCTCGTCAATTGCGTCTGTCTTAACTTTTAAAAACGAAGCAATCGGATTTTATTATCGCGCCATTTTTACGATATTAATTAATTCTCTCGCTATATTATTTACGAGTCATCACAAAAGTCCTTGATAAATCCAAAAATCGCAAAGTTATATAGCAGAGGTTTGTTCGAAGGTTTGTTCGAAGGTTTGTTCGAAAATTTTATTATCAATTTGTCACAGATTGAAAGGATCGCTCCCCTCGAATTTACGCTAAATGTGTATTGCTTCATACCAGCAGCTTTCGTTATAAAAATTATAAAATTCAACGCAGTTCGATATTAAAAACTTACATATCAAAAATGATTAATTGCGTGAGGAATTTTATTATTAAACGCGAACTTGATGTCTATCTTTGAACAAATATTTTGTTATTACGCTCGTTTCTTATTATATTTTACACATTTTATTTATATCTATAGATGAAAGGTAACCCTATTATGAGATACCGAATTCATTTTCGATAAATGCTAGAAATCTATGGGCAGAATGTAAAAAAATAATAGGTCATTTTGAAGGGAATTTAATAAGCTTTAAGATGACGTTATATAAAATTTAATTCAAATTCCATTTTTTTTTTTGAAAACTAAAGAAATGTAAAAAAAGTGAGCAAAAATCACAAAGTTAAAAAATTATGTTTCTACTATGAGATGCCTCGAGAAATCGATAGTAAAACGCAAAGTTTATTATCAGTTATTGCAATTAAAAAACTTTATTTCATGTTTCTAAAATGCAAATAAACACAGCCAGCGTGTGAAAAATGAGCATGCGATAGATTATACCCAGAACTCGTCTTCAGGTAGTTGGAATCAAGCATCACAGAAATAGGCACTCAACGTTCATTCCGGTTGTTCTTTTTATTATTGTACAATAATATTTATTCTTTAGCAACAATTTTCACTATAACATAGGAGTATGGATTATTTTATATTAGAATACCCCGGATATCCCATATTACAATTTCTTTTTATGGTTTTACGATCATTAAATCT